CAAAGAGCAAGGGGGAGAGAGGCAAGAGGAGATCCAGAAGGTGGTTGTAACTCCAGCAACTCACTTGCAAACCGCAGCTCAGCTTGTGTCCTGGATGTGGCAGTTGGCTCCTAAGATACCTGAAGTACCAAAGAAATTACAAGGTCTTATTTGGCAGACCTGTTCTCCTGTGCTCCTCGTTTCAATTCTAAAAGAGAAAAAAAAAGAAACAAAGAGGAAAAGAAAGAAAGTAAGAGTGAATGAAAGAAGGAAAGAGAGAAGGAAAGAAAAAAAAGAAAAGCAAAAATAACCACTGAGATTGAATACTGAATGTTTCCTTGCTTAAGGTTCTTGTTTTTTGTTCTCACATGAAGTTCCCCCTCAGTTTATGTGTGAGGGTGGGGGGGGAAAGCATTCACTGAGTGAATCTTCATGGTGATTCAGAACATTTTTGGTAGATGCTGTCATATGCTTTGTAAGTTCCTGACTGATTGTGTAGAATTAAGTTATTGGGCAGAGAACCAGCTAATGGAAACACATTGATGAAATCATTTTTGAGGGACATTAAATGGAACTTAAAATAAAGCTGAAATGGCTGTATGGATTTTTCAGTCAAACTGTTTATGAACATTTATTGGTGGTAAATTAGACAGTGTCAGAAGAGGGAATCAAGTAGGTATGGCTTTTAATAGGAGTCACTCTGATATAATAGTGTGAAAAGGAATAGTTTATTGCCTGGGGATGTATGATACAGTATGTTTAAGTACAAATTATATGATTGTTTTCTTCTAAATGTCTTTGGCTGTTTGCAGGTGAGCTGCCCTTAGCAGCAGCAAGTCTCAGAGGGCAAAAAATATTTTCAATACTTGGCAATGAAATGGAAATTTTATACTATGCATTTTTCATGTTGGATAGCAAATGTTTTAATAAAGGATAATTCAGGAAGCAGAGGCTGTGTTACACAATAGTAAATTTAATTTACTTTTGTTTTATGTTTTGCAAAAGGAGAAGACGAATAGAGTATCTTTGCTTGAGAAGGGAGATTGCAGCAGCTAAGACTTCCATTGTTGGAGTTGTGCATTAGTACTGTTTGCCAAAACCCAGCATTCCTAGGGTAGGTAGTAATGAAAATAAACCTGTGGGAATGCAAGATGGTAAAGCACCTTCTGGTCTTGCAAATCCTATTCCCACACCTTGTAGTCATGAGTTTGTCGAGTCTGTTAGGTTGTCTGTCCCATGTACTGTAAGAGAAAAGCTGTTCCTGTTTTCTCTCCTCTGTTGCCCAAAAAAAAAAAAAAAAAAGAAAAAGAAAAAAAAGAAAAAAAAAAAGAAAAGAAAAAACCTGTTTTTTTCTTCCTAAATGTATTTGGAACCTATTTGCTCTCAAGCCAACTTTGGCCTATAGCCAGTAGTTCTTTTTCCTTTGTGTTATTTGTCCTCCTAATGTGTTTATACACAGCATTCATATCCTTCCTTCACCATCGTGCTGCTATACTAAAAAACCTAGTCTTTCTAGCCTTCTTTTGTAGGGCAAGCTTTTTCAGTTCCTGCAATCAGACAGTGTTTTCTCTCTGTACACTATCCTCAAGTGAGGATGAGCTGGAGGCTACATTAAATTCAATTCAAGGATTCACTGATTATTCTTAAAATAATGCCAGTTTTTTCTTGTTCCCATGTTTCTGTTAGTTTTGCCTCTTCTCGTTCAGTTTAATGACATGCTTGCCTTTCATTTGGCCCTGTCCTGCTGCTATGAATCATGAGTAGCCCATGGCCTCTTTATGGGACGTTCCCATTCAGGGAGCATCCAGCGTGGAGCAGAAATCCTCATTTCTCTCTAAGCACATGACCTTAGATTCCTATTTTTAAATTTCACCCTCTCTCTTCTACTCCCTAAGGCTACTCATTCATTTCACCATGACAGCCCAGTCCTCTGCAGAGCCAGGACAGCCTAATTCAGTGTCAACAGCATATTTCCCTCAAACTTTCCTTCTTTTCGTGCCAAGGCCTTTAGTAAAAATCTTAAATGAGGTCACTTCCTCCATCCTAAAGATTTCACTTTCAACACAGTCCAACGCTGATGCTGTCACTGCCTGGCTGGGGACTTCTTTAGTGGTTGAGAGCCAGACTTTGGCACAAATGTCCAGTGTAGTTGAACTTCTCCAAATGTTTGTTGCTGTATGGAGGCACAGGGGGAGCTGCTGATCCCCTAGGCAGAGACCAAGGCTTTTCATGGAAAAGAGAAAAGTGATGGAATTGGGCACATTTCCAAATATATAGTATTTCAGGTAGCACAGAAAAGAATGGAGAATGGTTATTTACTATTTCTCACAGTCCAGGGCAGAATGAGCATCCAGTGAAATCATCGGGCAGCAAGGTGAAACAAAGGATGGACTTCTCCAGAGCATTTAGTCCAACTGTGGGCCCCCTGGTAGAGAACAGGGGACAGGTAAAATCATGATGAGGTTGAAAAAGAGAGGTGAGAAACATTTACCGGTGTCTCTCCAGTGGCTGGATGACAGCCTGCCCTCAGAGACCCTCAGCTGATGACAGCCAGAGCCGAGGGAGGAACGGTGTAGCCCTGGCTCCTCAGCATCCCTTGTGGCTGCTGTCCTACACGGTGACAGGGACAGGCAGCCCTGTGGGAGATCTCCTGTGCTTAAGAGGGAATAATAAGAATTGATGCTGTCAAGGCAGGTGGCATTCATTTATAATTCGTATTGAAGGAGTGAAGCTAATAAGGTTTGGAAGTCTCATTTCTGTTCCCAGTGCATAGGGGACACTTCCATGGATTTGGGAATGATGAACACAGAAGAAGAGGGTTTTAGGACTGTGTGAAGGGAAAGGAGAAGCAGGGGATGGGTGAAAGGAAGGGCAGGCTTTTTTATTTTCAGTCTTCCTGAAATAACTGCATTGGAGTCTCCACTGGCTTAGTTTCCAGAGTTGCTTTCTATGTTCAAAGAGAGAATGAAAGACTGGAACATTCCAGGTCATTAGAAGTATGCCAGTTCTCCTTATCCTGCAGATGTTCTGGTTACTTGCAGGTCTTACACTTAGTGTCTAAAAATGAATGAAAACTACTGGCATAAACAAAGTCACCTGTTGAGCGATGTGAGTAGGGAGAGTGAAAGAATATCTCTCTGTACCCATCCCACAGCACTTCCTCATCTTCCTCACCTCAAAAATCATTGTTTTATTATGCAATATGTGCAGGCTACATCTTTTGATAAGTTTCATTGGAAAGCTAATAACCAAGGCAATTGTGTGGATAAGCAGAGTCTTAAATTGTTTGGAAACTGTTGAGAGAGGACAGATCAGATAATAATAACCTTCATGGTTGGCAAGCTGCAGCTGCTTCTGACAACTTGTAACGATGAAGGCTTATAGTTAACTTAAGAGCTAAATATCTGTATTGGGCCATGGGATCAATTTCAATTCCCAAGTATAAAGCTTCAGACTTTAGACTGCTTTTGTCATCTTTGAGATTACTTTGTTTTTCTCTAGGTTAAAAAGGAGTTGTTTTTTTGTTTGTTTGTTTTATAGACATTGAGAGTGATTATTTTCATTCCTTTTTTTTCTGTTAACTCATTGGGATGGCTTCATTAATCTATTTCAGTGCAAAGACAGTTGAACTCACATCAAAGCCATGAGTGTTTCTCCCTTATAACAGTAGTTACAAAAAGGTGTTGTGTTCACATTTTGCATCGTCTTCCAATGTGCTCATAGGTAACAATTTTAATAGGACGTATTAAAAACAATCTCAAACATATCTAAATAATCCCATCAAGGTCTGTAGCTGGCATCAGAAGCTTTATCAAAGAAAAAAAATAAGGACATTAAAAAAATGCCACTGGTACAAATTGCATGCAGACACTGAAATTGCTGGGAGGAACGCGGATAATGAACGGCTAGTTGGTCACAGTGCAAATGCATGTAAGGCTGCAGGTCTAGATGTAGGAATGTAGGTCAAACTTGTTCCCTGGTAGGCAGCTATGTTCTAGACAACAGAAACATGAATTTCTTGTTCACTGCCATGGGTAAGACTATATCATTCACAGATTTGCTAGCACTGAATGTTTCAATGAGAGCAGTAAGTGGCATAATGCAGTATGGAGTGTTAGTGACACCCCCTGGGGACTGCTGTGTCCAGTGCTGAGGTCTCAAGCAGAATGTTTTAGAAGGGGAATGGGTTCAGAAAAGAGCAGTAAGAAGTGTGGAAAAGATGAATGATTCGTGTTCACAGTGAATGATACAGAAAGCCATAACGTTTTGGAGAACTGAAGAAAAAGTTGAGGTGGTTGGGTCATCCTCTCTAAATATCTACAGGAGAAAAGTGAAGATTTGTGTTCATGCAGCGTCCATTGGTTGGCAAGCATAAGAATATTTAGTGGCTGGAAGCAGAAGTGAGAACAATTCTGATTAGATGCACGTTTTAAAATTAGAACAATTAGACAATGGAAGGGCTTATGTTATGGGCTGTCTTTGGCCTAGAACTGAAATTTGAAGAGCACATTTTTCTAAAGAGACACAGCATGGCTCATTCATGGACCTGATGCAGAAATGGCAAGAGCACAGCCTGACCTAAGAGATGCCTGCAGTAATTGAGCCAAAATTTGGTTTTCCTTTGAGTATCTGTCAGAGCCCAGCAAAAGAAATAATTTCATGACATGCATCCAGGTTCATTAGTGAGAGATGTAGCTGCATTTGTTATTAATGAGGTATCTGTTCCAACCTCCCTGCATCAGCTGGGTCAGCAAACACTTCCCATATTCAGGACACAAATTTTAAAACCTAAAATGCAGTTTACAGGCAAATCCCAATTGTAATTGAGACAACCAATTTCAGATGATAAGGATTTAGCTTTCCCTGGGGACAGAAGGGGTGTGTGTGAGGGAGTAATGGGGTCAGGCAATGGGGAAATGGGGTCAGGTTAAAATTGCACCTAGGTATGATTTGACAATCACTCCCCTGATAACAGCTTATAATGTTTACAATTTGTCTTCTGTTTTGTTTTGTGATTTCAGGAGCAGAAGGCACAGTGTTCCCTAAATCTATAGAAACTCCCAATGTCAGGGCAGACCCCTTCAAGGAACTAAGGTAAACTTTGGAATATGGTTTAACGGTAACTCAGTGGTGCCTTGCTGGGCATCATTTCTGCTTTTGCACAGGAACTTGGGGCTTTGCTTTGGATGGCATCACCAAGGGGATGCCATGGAAGAGAGGAATCTTCCATGTTTATGTCTAATATGACAGAGCTAAAGGCAACTGTGGGTGATGAGAGCACCATTTCTCCTGTGTAACACACTCTGCTTATTTTGGGCTCAGCCCTTGGAAAGAAAGAGAGAAATCTTTCTCCTGGGTGTGCAGGGAGGTACTGGAGTCTGTGCTGAGTCACAGGGTGTAACAGCACAATGATAATGCTCTCCAGCGTTGTCTGTCTTGCAGAAATGCAAACCCTCTCTGATCTACACCAATTCTAGCTGTGTGTGCATGTCACTGCTGAGCCTTGCAGTTAGCACTTGCTGACAGCAGGTATGAGGAGAACCAGTTTTCCCAAAATCTAATTGATCTAATGCTGGGCAATATATTTAAAAAAAAAAAAAAAAGTTAAAGTTAAAGAAAAAGAGGGGAAAAAAATCTGCATGTCATCTTGCCCTTAGATCTTGGGTTGCAAATACTGCTTTCCTGGAGCGTACTAGGGGTGAAGCAATCTTTGGACAGCTGAAGTTGTGTTGTGAGATGGGAGACAAGCTCTTGTTAGCTCTCTCTGTTCTGACTCTGGGAGAAGAGATGGCCCAGCCTAGATCACCTTGAATGATGAGCAGCATCCAGGCTGCTTTCTCTTGTGCATATTGCTGTCGTTCAGTTTCTCTCCAGAAGCACTCTTGTCACGTTCTGCACTCTGAGGACCACATGTCAGACCAAAAGTGCAGCAGTGGTGTGAGTCAGTTCATGGTTAAAGTTTGTTCTATGAATGGTGACATTAACACCACCTTGTGTTTTTTTCAGTCACAGTTTGCATGCTTTTAAAACAGAAGAAATTGGGTCCTTGCTCAGTTTGCTACGCAGCTGCTGGGGCAGTTCCAGGGTTTGCAGAGCATTCATGGGTTGTGATGACACGTGGGTAACAAGGGTTTGTTGGTACAGCCCATGTCAGCAGAAATTTCCAGCAGGAAAAAAAAATAAATCACAATCATGGTTAAAATGTCCATTAGCATCTAAATAACTTAGGTAGTCAGGTCCTGTTACTGGTAGTGATTTAGGTCCAAGTTTTTGCTTGCTTAGGACTTTTCTAAATGTGGGAGGGGACTTTCATCCGAAGAAATGTAAGGTGTTGCATTAAAGGGGGCAGATGTCAATTAAAGTAGCCTTAATCTGATTGAGCGTGCTTCTGTTCCATAGAGAATTAAGCAAAGTGAAATTGAAACGAATTAACGGTGGTATCCATGCAAGGAGTTGATATTTGATCTGCTTTAAATTCTTGTAATTTTACTTGCTCTTGTAAGGAGCTGCTGGATATCTGGCTTTCTTTGAAATTAGTAGACTGTTTGAAAAAGAATCCTTTAAAAAACTGATTTTTTTTTTTTTTTTGCCTTTTTAAGGGAAAATACTTGAAAGTATTTTGAAAAAGGGCCAAAAGGGTCCTAAAGCATTTAATACACTTCTGAAAATTTTATCTTTACAAAAATAAATGCTTTTTTTCTGCCACCCTGAAAGGAAAAGAGATGTGGGTAGCGCTGTGCAGAGAAAGTAAAGTTTCCTGAGATCAAATCCTTTTCTCCTCCCTAAATCAAGAGCCTTCCTTCTCTCCCTACACATATAAAAGTTTGTTGGAGCATTCGTAGGTGAAATAGTGTGTTTTGGGTGCAGCACAGATTTCATACAGAAGGAACCTTATTCTGGGGGGACAATTCTTTTGTTCCTTCCTATTTTGACAGCATTGTGTGTACATAAGGTATCCTTAAGCCTGGTTAAAAAGATGCTGTGGTAAAATGGGCCCAAGCGAGATGGCAGACTGTGGGTCCAGAGCTGCTACAAACATGTACTCAGTAGCTGGCTTGACTCTCAAAGATCTTTTTTTTCTGTAAGAAACAGTGGAAACCTTTCTTTCCTTCTTAGGCTGCAGTTTCTGGGAGAGAGGTGCACAGTCAGCTATTGCGGGCTGTCACCAGTGCCACCAGCCTCAATCACTGCTCGTAGACCAAACGGTTAAGATGAGTTACACAATCCATTTTCATCCATTTGCTTTTTTCAGTAGCTTAGCGACTCCCACCTCTTCTTTAGGAGGCTTCAAAATAAGGTGACAACTGTCACTAACAGAAGGAGAAGAGACCAACTGCTTCTGTCACCACTGGGAGCCAGACCATCTGTATGTCTCCTTTCTCTTCTTCCTCTGTTTAACAGACAGACTGATTTCCCCTTCAACACAGGCAGCATGCCACTGTGCCAGTCATTTCTGCTTCTTCTCTTCTTTTTCTTCCCCATCCCACAGGCATGTGCAGACATCACAAAGACTGATACACTCTGAGCGATGGTACATACATTCTCAATAGACTTTCTGTCCCCGTTTAGCTGATGAATGACCTTCAGTTCATATAGCCTAATTCATTTATTAGTGGCTGCTCTACAAGCTGGTCAACTTCCTGGGGACAGACAAGGTAGCCGTCCTCCTGGCACACCAGCAAACTGTGTGGCCCTTTTCTCTATGTGCCTTTCTTAAAATACTTCTGTCTGCAGCAGTTTAGATGGAGAAAAATTAGGTGGCAATACGTGCATAGATTTTTCTTACACGCTAAGCCCATAAGACAGTTGTTGGGCTGCAAGAATTGGTTTGGCGCTTCTTTGACCCAGATCTGGACTTTGCTGCTGAGTCTTTGCAGGTTTTCAGCAACCTCCATGCTACAGGAAGGCTCAAGTGTCCCAAAAAAAAAGAATCCTACAGAGCCCAGTCTCAGTTGTATTAGGAGCAGCAGAGCTCATAAATGCCTGGTTTAATGTAGAGGTGACTGTTATTAGTGGTCCATGTTTTCTTTGATTCTTTAGTCGTGACATAAGAGTAGAAATATATGAAAAACTATTTAATATGCTTTAGTGAATATTTTCCTGTTCTTACTTTTGTCAAGGGACAGATTCTTTAGCAGGGTGATAGGTCAAGGAGAAATGGTTTCAAGCTGAAAGAGGGGAAATTTAGATTGGATATAAGAAGGAGGTTTTTTTATGGTGAGAGTGATGAAGCACTGGCACAGGTTGCCCAGGTAGGTGATAAATGCTCTATTCTGGAGACATTCAAGATCAGGCTGGATGGGCTCTGAACATCTGATGGAGCTGTAGTGGTCCCTGTTCATTGCAGGGGACTTGGACCAGATGGCCTTTAAGGGTCCCTTTGAACTCAAACAATTCCATAATTCTGTGAAAGTAATTTTAGACTCCTAAATGTTTTGCTAATTGGGTTGTAAGCTAATCAAAAACAGTAAAAAGAAAACAAAAAAAAATCAAATTATTTTCAAATTCTTGGACTGCTTAAAATTCCTGCTGAGCATCATCCCAAAATAGTTCAGAGAGAGGAACTGTGAGATTTTTTTGGGACATTAAATATTTGTAGTAATTAAGTCTTTGTAATGCAAGTTGCTATCCTTGTGATTGCCTGTATATAAAGGTTGACTGCAGATGCTCTTTTCTCACTGGATTGTTTTAATAGAGCCCAAGTAACTTGGTAAGAGCCTTTCTTGACTGACAGAAATCACCAGGCTTCCTTATTTGTCTTCTTTCAAGAGAGCAATATATGTTAAGGAGAGTAACAAAAACTGTCTGACAATCACAAGATCAGTGCCTTCACTGCCATTGACACATCCTTCAAGGAGGGGGATAAGGGCTAGACCAGCTGATGAGTGGGGGTGAAGGGAAATAATTGGAGGTGGAAGCATAATTAAAAAGTGAGTGGTCCAGTATAAAAAAAAAAAAGGTATCAAAAGGATGTTAAACTACTGCATGCAGGAAAGGTGTGTGCTGAACAGGTGCTGTACAAGAGCACCTGTCCCTGGGCTTGTTGTTCGGGCAGCTTCCTCAACCCAAACTGCCTTGTTCAGACCTAGCATAGGGATCTCTCTCATAACCACACTGCTAGGCCAGGCACTGCAAGCACTGCAAGTATGTTGCTGAAACCCTGGTTTAGGGTGTTTATGTTCCTGGAGTTAAATAAAAAGAAATCAGCATGAAATTCACTTTATAAGCAGCAATCACAGACCTGGAATTCATCCACAGTTATTGTAGGTTAAAAAAATGCCATAAACTGCTCATCCAAGGCTGGGAAACCAAGGCATGATTGTTTTTCCTGTTATACACAAATATAGTTAAGGGAGAATTAATCTCTTGGGCTTAAAGGGGTAATTTTTGACCAAAGTTAATTATGAAGCACTGGAAGTACCAAATAACAGATGAAATGCACTTGCAGTTTGATTTTATTAGTGCAATTCTACCTTACCGTGTACAGTATTGAACTATCCAAATAGTCCAAGTGAGACCCATTGTACCAAAAAGCAATTTAAATACAGTGCTTAGCTAATGCAACGGCACTCTTTTTGTAAAATAATAATTCTATCGAATTAAAGCTTCTCTCAGCTGTGCTTCACAAAGCAGCAGAGACATTTTCAATAAGAACAAACACAAATAATGTTTCTGTCTAAAAACCACTGCATTCACGAAGATCAAAGGAACAAAAAGTAGAGGAAGCACAAAAAATCAGTTGTATAAAAGAGAAAGTATTTGGTGTGAAATGGATGTCATTTGTGAAGAGTAGCATGTCACATTGAAACATAGTTTAGCTTTTAGCAAACACTGGGAATTCCTGCAAGTTGGCAGCAAGGGAAAAATGGTTCAATTTAGCCTTATAACTATTGGTGTTGTTTTCAGATTGCTGGTAAGGGTGCTGTAGCAGAAATGCTGAATCACGGCCTGTAGCAGTGATTGAGCACCTGGTAGGAAGGCAGGACCAGCCCAGGGGAGCTCAGGTGCATGCAATGTTCCTGAGTGATTGGAAGGGGTGGAGCCAGGATCCGTCCCTTCCCAGACCTCATTTAAGGGCTGGCAATAGAAGTAAG